TTTTATGGGCCTCTTTGTGCCCTTGTGTCCTTTAAACACGAATGCCCCCAAGAATCGACTCGATCTTCTCCACAGCTTATTAGCTTTCCCTCAACAGACATGTTCAACCACCACGCCTCAACTATGACCCCAATGCCAATGATTTCCAAAACAATGTCTAGCCCTGGCCTCCCTCATGAGTTTGGGCTGCTGGATACCTTTAGGTGGCTATTTGCCAGGGCCAAAGTCTTAAACTCAACACAACTAAAACTGACCTCTCAACTCTCTGCCAAATTTCCCATCATTCTCCTGGTCACATCCTGACATCAGCCACGTCTCGATTCTACCCCCTCCATGTTCTCAGTCCTGCCCCTCCTTGCCACTGTTATGAGCAGCTGTTATATATGGTTGTGCAGGCTGTGCACTGCACAACTCTGGAGGGGACCATTCATACAGACTACATGTGAGCCTTGATCACTGACACAGATTCCTTCCCCCATGGTCAGGAGCATGCCGGAGGAGGACCTTGGAATCCTCTAAAGTTGGGGGCCCAGGGTAGAGGCCTCTCACACCTTGGTCTGAAAGTGAGACACTTCAGAAAGATTAAATGACTTGTTCAAGACCATCCAGCTATGAAGTAGCAAAGTCCAGGCTCAAACCCAAATGCATCTGATGCCAAGGTCTGTGCCCCGTCCACACCTGTTTCCTCACCTTAAGACCCATGTACCCAAGGGACAAACATTGTCCTTGCTGATGGAAGTCTACACATAAGCAGGAGCATGGCCTGTAGTCTGTGGGTCCATGGCCATAGGAGTCACAGATTGCAACAAGGTGGCTCTGCAGAAAGACTTGTGCTATTTAGATCACTTTCAACAGGTACCCATATTTGAAAATCTTGGATTCTAGTTCCGGTTTGATCTCCCTGCCCAGCTCACCAAAGCCAATCTCCTTACCCAGAGAACAAATCAAATGATACTATTTCTCTGTAATACTCCTCAATACTCTCCATTTGCTACAGATCTCGGGACAAGGCATAGTATCTTAACTTTGTTGCAGGGCCCTGCAGGACCCGGCCCCAGCTTGCATGTCTAGTGCCATCACAGGCGGCCACTCAGTGTCTTTGTCTAATGATCTCTTTGGTGCACCCCCAAGTGGCCTCTCAAGTGGGAAGGGCTTTCAGGCGGATAGTAGTAACAGTAATACCACCAAGAACTCACTCCTTTTAAAATCCATTAAAATAAACTATAAAACTCCAAATAAAGAAAATTATCAATAAGAACAAAAAGATCAGCAAGATTCTACTCAAGGAAGTATGAATCAACAGGAAACCAAGTTATCTAAAACCAAATTAAAAGTTTTACTGCACATAGAACAAATATTAAGAATCGAAAGACCAGCAATGAGTCCTTTGCAAGAAATATGAAAGGTT